CTCTCTCTCTGGCCTTGATCCACAGCCCCTCGCGCCCCATCTCTCCCTTTCCCCCCCTCTTTCATCCCTGCTTTTCAACTGATCTGTCTCCCCACCTCTCACCCCTTACCATCCCTCGACCTCTTCCTCTCATCCCCTCCTCGCCTGTAAAGTGATTCCCCTCACCCCCGTCTCCTCTGATTCCTTCCATCTCTTTGCACCCGCTTCCACGTCACCTCCCCCCACATCTCTTCTTTATCCCCTTTTCCCATCATCCCCCTCTCTCTCCTTTCCTCTCTGATCCATGTCAGTCAGGCCCTGGGGCTCTGTAGGCAAGACCAGCAGGGGTTTCCCCTCTGAAGGTTGTTGGTGGTAGTGGGAGTCTTCTGAGCTAAACAATATAATGTCATTCCTCTTTTGAAGTGAACGTAGTACTTTACTCCCCCATCTGATTCTTTTGAATTCATCCATTCTAATCCCTCTATAAGTTAGCGGTTCCTTCACCAACCCATTTATATTTCCCCCGGCTTTTGTCTTTGTTTCAGAAACGCGTTGAAAGAAAAGCACTCAGCTCCATCTCTCCACCTTCCTGTCTCATTCAGCCACCACTCACACATAGTGAGCTGTTTAGAAATCAACTAACTCACAGAGAAGGCTTTATAAAGCTCTAGCTCACTCGCTCACAGGTTACCAAATGTCCTCGAGACAGTGAGGAAAAAGACACAGTTCACAGTAAAAGGAACAAAAAGTTAAAAAAAAAGTGGATTTTGAAGTGATATGACTAGACATTAGCGGAAAGACAAGACTTACAAATGAGTCTGGAGCATAATCTAACACGAGATAAAATTGAAATCTCTTTGATAAGAAAAGTGAAGATTGTTATCAAGGCTTCAAATAACCTGAAGCACATAAAGAGCAGAATGAGGGTTTCTGTAATCTGCCATAATAATCTTACGATGAGAAATCAGATCAGTTGCTGTATGCCAAATTCAGACCTAACTGCAACATATTTTGAAAAGGACCATCAGGGGCGAAATGTTCAGCTATTGTAAAATAAAAGAAGAAGTTCTGAGCTTGTGGATGGGTTATGAGATGCTTCACAATTGAAGTTAAACAGATACAAATTGGTCGTTATTACATGAAATAACATAGTCATGTTTACGGGTTTAACGATTTGGCGAGGTTACACAGAGAGTGCAAAATACAGTCCTTTCAGTCCTCAAATAATGTGTATGACCCTAAAAAAAAAAGCCACATTTTAAGTATTTTGGAGTCTCAAAAGGCACTTATTTTGAGACTGCAAAATGAAAGGAACAAAGATATTCAGCAGAGAAACAGGCAGCCTATGTATATCCTGCTGGTGCAAAATAACACAGTATAAATATAGGGTTTTGTACAGTCCTCTCTTTCCGTGGTGTATTTTAAGTGCCCCAATTAAGTATTTCAAAATCATAAACCAGTCGCTGTGGCAGAAGTCATCATTATTTTTGAGATAAGAAAAGTACTTTAAGAGTCATTGAGCAAGCAAAATACACATATTGAATTTAGGTCTCAGCTGAGGATGGCAGAGACGGATGGGCTGAATAAGCAAAGCTGACTTTAAGCCTGTTTAATCAAATAGTGATGCGGCAACAATGTTATCTGCAGCAGGGCGTTGGGGGGGGGCATCAATACAAAGTAGAAGAATTACTTTTGTGCAAACAAACAGGGGCAAGAAACAGAAGTTGAGGCGAGGGTAAGGAAAATATAATAGTTATGTAATATTCACGAGTGTCACAGTCAGCATTAAAGGCTTTTTAGCTAATGAGGCTCACTCGTAACTCAAATTTGATGAACGGGGAGACTGCTGTATAACAAGAGCCATGTTCAACGGTTTCCATGCTGCAGTTGACTTAGGGTTTTTTTAAACGGCACTTTATATCAGAGGCTTTTACAGATATTAATATCAATGTGATTCAGGCAGCGGTGAGAAACCCTTGTCAGACAAATGCTGGATTTAGTGTAGCGGAGAGGAGGAAGAGGTGCGTAAGTGCTCCAAACAGCTGAACTAAGAGAAGAGATGTGAGCTGTGTGACATGGAGGGGAACTGTGTTTTATTTTGAAGAGATGCTTTTATACCCATAAGTATTCATTTCAAAGGGGTAGCTGGAACACTAATACCACTCACACCTATGCATATAAAGTCCTCACTCACAAAACACACACAGTTCCTGTCTTACTCACGGTTAAAAGCTAAGCGAAGTTGATTACCATTTCACTTGCAGGATTTAAGAGTGTTTTCTTCATAAAGTTAGTTGATCTAGAATATCCCACCCACATACTCCACCCAGAATTCCAGCTCTTACCTTCTGGTAGAAGATTCAGGGTTCATAAGCACTCATTCCTACCTATGTCCATTAAGCTTCTTAACATTCACATGTAATGAAATATGCTTTTTAAATGTTGACCATGAGGGTTGTGCAATGGGTCGCAATTGTCAGTATGTGCGTCTGTGTATTAGGGCTGTACCCGAATATTCGTTTTTTTTTTTTGGGAATTTATTGAAATCTCCAATATCAACGTAAGAGCTTGTGCCTCTTCGGGGGGTGCTAACACTTAACCATAAACGTTATCGTTTACTTTCTCCGTCTTTATATGTAGATATTACTTTTTCTCCATTAATCTCCATCACGTTGTTTCCATAGCAACAACAACTTCCTGTCAACTGCGCTAACTCTCCTTCAAAATAAAAGCATGTCCATACAAAATGGAAGTTGTTGTTGCTATGGAAACAACGTGATGGAGATTAATGGAGAAAANGTGTGTGTGTGTGTGTGTGTGTGTGTGTGTGTGTGTGTGTGGAACTCACACATGCATCGACTTCGAATTGTGTGCTGCAGTGGTGGCATTTTGACCTCCCGTCGAAGAAGAATGGCTCTCATCCAAACAGGAAATGAAGCCTTATAGGTCTCTGTGAGAGTGTGTGTGTGTGTGCGTGCCTTGTGTTTCCTGCTGATCCCACTGGTTGGTCTCTCTCCTGCCTCTCCTGGTGGTCTCTCCCACTTGCCTGGCTGTGAAATGCAGAGTTTGTCTGTATTTTCTTTCACTGTTGAATATGTATACTTACTCTAGATGCCTCTTTCCGTTTTCAGAGTTTTTTTGCGATGTGAGTTTGTGTTAGAATCTTTGTGTGGTCCATTGCCTCTGGGCAGTAGTTATTCAACTGTTATGAAAAGATGGGACTGATAAAGCAAGTTAAGATTGAAAAAAGTTTAATTCTTCATTAAAAATAAATCAATTATTTAAATTTAGTGTAGGTTATTTTCATTATTTAT